TAGGCTCTAAGAGGAGTAAGTCCTTGTGTGTTTGTGTGCCTGTCGTGATTATTCAGGGATGAAGTGTGTTGTGGTGGAAAAACTGTAGAATCTGAGTGGGGGTCTCCTGTCTCTGTTCTGCCACTATCTACTGGTGTGACCTTGGTAAGGGCTTTATGTCCTTGGGTCTGTGTTTCATTCATCTAAAAATGGGGAATCAAAGTACTTTCCCTCCACAATCTCTTCCAGTTCTATAATTCTGTGATTCTAAGCTTATGGATAAATTTTGCATATATGCATGACTCCAAGTGTATGATTATTCTTAGAGCTGTGCACAAAGCCTATACCTTCTGTTGATGAATCTGCATTTCATCAGAGAAATGTGTCTATAACCAGTGCTCAAATTAGAACCCAAAGAATATTTTTGCCAACTTGTTTTATTATAGTATCAACTTAGTACCTGAATGTGTTTTAGATCTCTACCTACAGTGTGGGTTCATTGAATTATTGTAATGATTATCTGATTAGCATAATCTGAAAAAAACAGCAGGAACCTTGCTTTAAGGTAGATGGTTCCAAAGATGGCTGCAACAATATCTTCCATTCTATGTGCTCCTTTGTAAGGTGACCTTGACACACCCCATCAAAAGATAGAGTCTATTTCCATCAAAAGATAGAGTCTATTTCCCCTCCCTTTGAAACTGGGCTATCCCTTTGATTTGTTTTGACTTAGAGATTGCAACAGAAGTGATGTCATATAGCTTTTGATACCAGGTCTTATAAAGTCTACAGCTTCAGCCTTTGCTTCTTGGGATGGTCCTGCTTGGTACCTAGCGACCATGTTGGGAAGAAGCTCAAGCAACCATGCTGAGAGGCCCAGGTAGAGGAAAAGTGAGCCCTCTGCCAAAATCTCTACTTGAGTTCTCAGCCAGCAGCCAGCACCAACCACCAACCACACGTGTGAGGCTGTCTTAGACATTTCAGCCTTCCCAGTACCCAGGTAACATCACACAAAGAAGAACTGTGTCTGCTCAGTACACAGACATTTTTTAAAATGTTGTTGCTTTAAGTCACTAAATTTGAGGGAGGTTTGTTAAGAGGCAATTTCTCCAGATTAAACAGAGTTTAATATTGGAGCAGAACCTCATGTCTAAAATACATCAAGCTAGTCCTCCATTCATCCACTCCTTCATTCAATCAAATAAGTATTTACTGAACATCTACTATGCTAAGTGCTGAGGGCAAAAAGGAGACCAAATACAGACATGTCCCTGCCCTAGTGGAACTTGTTATCTGGATAGGGAGACAGACATTAACAAAAAAAATCTAATTACATGTTAAATAATGAAATGTTAAATAAATCGTGATGGTACTATTGAGAACTGGCACAATGCACTCTGGGGTGAGGTAAGTGGCTAAGGAACTAACCTTAACAGGGAGGGTAGAAGAAGAAGTGAAGACTAAACTTAGGTCTCAAGGAAGATTAAAAAATCAGCTAGGCAGAGGGGAGAACAAGAGCCCTCCACACAGACAACTCAGCATGTGCAAAGGGCCTATGGCAGGAGGGAGGGTGGTGTGTTCAAGATCTGTGTCCAGAGCTTAGAGATCATGGCTTAAGATGAGGCTGGAAGCTGGTAGGAGCCAGGCCTTGTGAGACTCTGCAGTTCTCATAAAGGCAGACTTAACAAGGAGAGGTCAACAAACTGATCTCACTCTGATCAGATTTTCCTTCGAAAGCCAGTGGGGAGAAAGGTGGGAGTAACCCCAGTGAGAGTAACCTGTAGCATTCTACCACACAACCTGTATGCAGTGCCACCCATGGGTATTTCATATACTCAGCACACATGGGCATTCTGCAGACACCCTAATTCCTTGCTCCATTTCACCGTATTATTTGTATACATCTATGTCTCCATAACTAGATCATAAAATCCTTTGGGTACAGAAGCTGTGTCTCATTCTTCTTTTCATTCCTATTCCACAGTACCTAGTGCAGTGCTAGGCACATAGCAAATATTTAATGTGTTTCCTAAAAATTTAAAACATGAATAAACAATCTATTCATAAACAGCCTGTCAAAAGTAATCTCCCGAGACAAAATTCTACAGCCTTTCTTGGAAAGCCATTCCGATGATATCAACGCTCTTCGGAAAGTCCTGCTGTAAAAGCATCATTCCTTTCTAATTGTAGCCAATTCTTGAGTTTCGTCCTCAGTGAAGACTGACAACAGCCCATCACATTTCCAAAGAACGTCTTTATGTACTTTTTTTTTTTTTTTTGGCTGCACCGCACAGCATATGGGATCATAGTTCCCCAACCAAGGATCAACCCGAGCCCCTGAAGGGGAGGCTCAGAGTCTTAACTACTGGACTGCCAGGGAAGTCCCATCTTTGTGTACATTTTGAAGATCATTACTGGGTCACCCCTAGCTCTCTCTCCTTTCAGTGGCAAAATACTTAATCTTCTCACTTTTCCTCAAAGAAATAATTTAGCTGCTCCCTGGATTCATTCCAAAACCTCCATCCCTCCTAAATTGTGGAGGGCAGCAATCTAGGAGACCAGGAAACAAGGTCAAAGATGCCAGAGGGACTTTGTGAGCAGTCCTCAGGGGAGAGGCAGGCTCTCTGTCTCAGTCTGTTCATTTTCAGGCCAACTCACATGTGTACCTGTGTATGTATGTGCACACATATTCATCTGTGCATATACACACATGAACACTGAAATTTTTTTACCAGCTCAAAGAATAAACACTGTTCTATTTGATGAGTTTGCCAGCTGTCCTCTGTTCTTTACCACCAGCCCAGATTTACCCATCTGATTCAACACAATCTTTTTTTTTTTTTTTAGTAAGTGAAATCTTCCCCCTCCCATCTCTGTAAATGATATAGCAGAGAAATGAGCAGCACTGTTTTTATTGGTATCCTCACTATCTTCATCATGTGCAAAGGCATCACAGAGATTGTGAAATACATCAAGAATTTGAAAACAATAAGCCACTGGTCACTCTACAAATAACGAGTCTCTAGTAACATAAACAGCTGTTGTGCTTTTTAAAAAAATACTTTTTTGGCATTTGGGTGAAAACTGTTTAATTTAATTTCAAAATACACTGTTAAAGTTACATTTGGAATCATTTTTCATCTCTTGTCAAATAAATAAAAATCCCTCAGTTATTTTATTGTAGCCATTATAGAAGTCTATATTATGCCATTTAAACAAGATCATATATAGGATGCGTACCGAACTGTAAGTGCTCACAAAAATTATGTATTATTTTTGTGCAGAAAAGTTAGTTAAGATTGTGTATATAATACAATTACAGCTAGCTTCTGAATTTAAATTAGGCCATCTTATTACACCAACAAATCCTAGCCTATTTTCAGAAAGACTTATGAAATATATTTGTTCCAAAAATCTGCAATGGTTTAAATTACTCTCGAAATTATTTAGCATGAATACTTTTTACATTTTTAAGCCAACACATACCAGCACACTTAACAAGAACTTATACATGCATTATCTCACTTTTTCATTTAAATTGAGGAAAGAATAAGAATATTACAAAGGATATTGATGGCTCTGTGCTTGGAAGAATAAAACATTAGTGAAGTGATGGTGTAGCTGAACTCAAAAGTTTTAGGCAAACAGCTCATGGAATACACTGCTGTATAATTAACATTTCTAAGAAGTTGCAATAATAAAACACTACCAAAAATAGGCACCTACAAAATAACATAAACAAGATCTCAGTCACCTAACTCAATTTTTGTAAAAGATGAAGAATGTCTTTGCTTTATTAAATACATAAATAATCTAAACACTGCAAAAAGGATAGAATACACTTTCAAATGAATTCAGAATCCAAAATATATTTATTTTTTAAATGTACATGCTTAGTACTCACTGGATTAAAGAATCGTAGGAATAACTTCTGTTTCTGCAGAAAATGAATGCCTATGTAATCGATATTATGTAAATATGCTCTATGGACTTTTTAGGAGAGGTCTGAGTCCAATTCTGAGTCTAATACCCAATTCGTCATGGATAATCTGTTTAAATTGATAACAATCACTACAGAAACACAGTGCAGCTGCCATCATAGGTTAAAAACACAATGATCTGAGTGACCCACAGGGAAAAAAACTTCCCAGTGTCACTCCAGCAGCCCACAGCGGAGCCTTGGGATAAAAACGTCGTGGTGCGATGACCAAAGTCCTCCCAGGGTACCCCGAACTCACACACCTCGACAGTTTCTGTTCCAAAGAGAGATCAAGGTGATTCCCTTTTGCATGATCTCTCTAGCACCCAGCAGCTATGTAGGGGTAGTTTCTTTGCAGCAAATTAAGGAGCAATTTCCTGTGTCAAGGTAAAAGGCACCTCAGCATTCAGCTGAACCGGCGATTTTTAGCACTGTCAACACGCACTAGAACCACGCAGAAGAAAACCCCTAAGAAAACAAACACTAAGTGTAGCACCACCGAGACCCCCGAAACTGAGGGCCGGACTTCGCTTATTTCGATTTAAACCAGATCCGCTGTCTTTCCCTAACTGAGCGAACCAAATAGGTCCCAAAGCGAGACCAAACTTTCTGTTCCAAATGTCTTTCATTTGACCAGAGCTCGGAGATGACAAAGGAGAGTATTCAAAATAGGGCAAAATAGAAGAGCCCTCTCTCAGCCGAATCACAGCAGTTGTCCGGCCCCAGGGGCTCTGATCGCTCAAAGTCCAGTCACACGACTAAAACGCTTCCTCACGCATCCAAGGTGCAAAAAGAAATAACTTCCAGTCTTAAATTCAACGTCCCTGACCTAAACTAGGTCCCCGCCGGCTTGTGTCCACACCCACAAACTAACTTCCCAGGACCCGAAGACTTGGGAACCCGGGGCAGAGGGTGAAGGACCAGCCGGAGCTCCCGCCCGCGGCCGAAAAGCGACGCGCTGAGGCATTACCAGCCGCTCCGGCACGTGGGGGCCGCGCGCTCGGCTTTCTGCCCAACCTGCTCCCCTGCGCCCGCCTCCTACCTGTCTGAGGATGAAGCTGGTCGAAGTGGTGCTGCCATCGGATCTTTTCAACCTGCTCCTCCGGGTCGTGGTGCCACGGGCCACCTGGACTCGACACACGGAGCCAGAAAGAACCCGGTAAGGACGGCAGTGTGGAACCGGGCGACCACCCCTGGCTAGAGTCCGCCTCCGGACACCAGATCCCCGGGGTCCCCCAGAGCCCGCACCCAAGTCTCCTCCGCGGTCCCCAGATACAGCCTCCACCCCACCCATCCACTCAAGCCTCGACGGCTGAAAAGGCGCCCGAGAAGAGCAGCCCGCGAGCACCCACCACATCCATTAACAAAGACTCTCAGGGTGCGGGGCCGAGTCCCCGGCATGGGCTGGGGAAGGCTGCGGGCTCCGGAGCGGGAGCGCAGAGACCCGAACGAGGTGAGAAAGAGGAGGAAGAGAAGGAGGAGAAAGAGGAGGGGCGGAGGAGGAAGGGACGCGGGGGGAGGGGCGAGGGAGCGGGGCCTCAGACTCCCAGGACTGGGGGCCACGCGCGCCGGGCGCGAAGGCGGGGCGCTCTAGGGCAGCCGAAGAGGGGGGAGGAGGGGGGAGGAGGGGGCGGTACCTGTGAGGTGGGCGAGTGCGGCCCGTCCGCGGTCCCGTTCTTGGCGTAGGAGGAGGACATGGTTCACAGCCGCATGGCGGGCCCGGGCGCTGTGGGCGGAGGGCGGTGAGGCCCCCGGACGTTCGGTAGCGGGAGGTAGGGGAGGGCGGCAGGACTTCCCCACCCGCTCCCGGGACCGCGCCGGCTCCCGTGCTCCCTGCCCCTCCTTCCGAGAGCGCAACACCTTAAAGCGACCGAGACGCTTCCCCCGCGCCCACAGCGGGGTCCCGGGCAGCGGACCCCGCAGGCGCAGGTCCTGCGGAAGGGGCTTCTCGGAATCTCGCCTACCGGAGCCGATCGGGAGAAGCGCTCTCCCACCTAGCGAGCGCCTTACATCAGAGCTTTCCAGAGGAGAAAGGGAGGGGGGGAATCGGGGATGGGGGTGGGAGGATTAAAATAGTCTGCACAGTTTAGAATGAGACAAAGGTGGCACGGTTCATGAATCAGGACTTTGGGAGGGACGCTGGTGCAGTGTGGCAGTGAGTGGGAAGAGCCGACCCGGGTGTGTGTGTGTGTGTGTGAGTGTGTGTGTGCGCGCGCGCGCGTGTGTGCGTTTGCTGCACTGGAATTTTAAAAGGGCAAGCAAGAGTCGAACCTTTCTTCCGCGACTTCACTCATCTGCCCACGGTGGTAAGGCATGGGGTTTTGTGGTTTGGTTTTTGTCGGTGTTTTTGTATTGTTTTGTGAACTCTAGCTTCAGAACCCCAAGCCATACACATCCAGGCAGCCGCGGGAGACTATGACAACCTGAGTCTGACGGGGATGCAGCCCCGCAGGAGACCAGCATACCCCAAGGAGTTTTGAAGGTCATGTTAGACCTGCTAAAAAGCAAGAGTTGGCCACGTGCCTCCCACTTCTACGCGGACATCTGTTTTCAAGGGAGGAAACTCATCTTTGAAATCATACACAATCTTTGCCGTTGTTGCAACCCTTGGTTTCCTCCTGCAAAAACATACTAGAGATTAATTTGAGATCAAATTAAAAGCGAATTGTGGAGAAGAGGGATTTGAAGTAATAAGAAGAGGGAAGAAAAACATGCGAATTCAAAAATAAAGAGACCCCGTTTAATTACAGTAACTGCAAGAGAAATCCATCAATAAAATTTGCATAGTATCTCAAACTGCTAAATGAGCTCATGTCACTTTGGGTTCTAGTATTTTTTTTTAGGGAAACTGCCATGTTTGTTTTAACAATTGGTTGGCCTTATTGAGGTCCTGATTATGTTTTACCATCCACCAGACACTTTCTTTACATTCCCACCCCCTTCACTTAATCCAGACCTTCAATTTTTTGTAACAGCCTAATAACTAGTCTCCTTGCCTCCTGGCTCCCTGCTGGACACACACACACACACACACACACACACACACACACACACACACACACTCCATTCTATCTACACACTACAAGCAAAGCCACTTTCCTAAAATCTCTTTGCCCAAGCCACTCTTCTCTAAAAAGCACTCATTGCTTTCAGCAGCCCACAAGACAGGGTCCAAACTCCATGGTCCAACAATCAAGCCCCTGCTTTTCTGGTCGCCACCTCATTTCTCCAACTTGATCTCTAAACAGACGTTCCGGCAAGCAGACAGGTCTACTCATTATTACTCAGACATACCAAATACAATCCCACTTCAGCACCTCTGCCTTGGAATGTATCCTTCCCCCAACCCACACTGGGCTGAATGCTACCCTTCTTCCCAGCCTAGCTCAGCACAGTCTCCCTCCACAGAAATCTCCCCTGACCATTCCAGGTCTGGGTAGTTTCCTGTGCCCCTGAAAAACTGGAGCATTTATTCTCTGGGCACTTAGTGCAGACTGCCTTGGTTTACTTGTTCTCTTTTTGTGAAAGTCTAATTTCTAAAATAGATTTTTAGCTTTTTATCTTCCACTCTTATACCTCACATATAGTAGATATTTCATAAAGTATATGGGTAATGTTATGTCTGCCAATGCATAACTCCTGCTTTAGTTACTGTCAACTCAATCCATTTTTAGTTCTCAGCCATTTTCCTAGTTGATACTTACTCAATACTTAGAGAATGAATTACTATGTGGGCACTGGGATTTGAGTTTTCTGGTGTTCCACTGCCCACAGTCTTACTACTTTGAGTTATCAAAAAAAGAATCTACAGCAGCATGACAGTGAGGGGTTCTCTGTACCTACCTTATAGCAGAAATGGTGAAAATAGTTTCTAAAAAATTCTTTAGTCTCTGGAAATGGTCCTGAGGGTATGCAGCCAATGAAGAAACCTTTATTCAAGAAAATTTACTAAAACTCAGTAAGAAAAGTGAGCCTGTGGTATTTGAACTAAGACCTGCTTTCCCCTCCACCACCACCTCCATCCAGTTCAGAAAGAGGGAAACTTACTGTACACTGGTCAGCTGAGAACACAGGGCTCCCTCTCCCCTCAGCTCCCAGATGGAGGGTTATTTTCCTGAGAGGGACAGGTCATGGGGCATTTATCATCCTGCAGCAGCCACCTGTTGCTGAGGCTAAGTTCCCATCAAATATAGCAGAGAGGTGGGGGTTCCCTTCTTTAGCCCAGCCCTCACTTGTGGGATGGGGGCTCTACCTTGGACACAGTGCCACTGAGAATATTGGGGCCCTGATCACTCATGGAGAGACAAGCCAGAAGACCGGCCTACTGCCCCTCCCTACCAAGCACTCAGCTCCTAAAGTGAGGGTGTCACTCAGAGAGATACACCATTGTCCCTGCCCCCAGAACCAGAGCTGAAAGAATGAAGTTGGACCCCTACCTCACACCACGTACAAAAATTAACTCAAAATGGACCAAAGACCTAAATGAGAAAGTTTTACATAAAAATGGAAAACTATTAAAAGAAAGCATAAGGGTAAATCTTCATGATCTTGGGTTTTGTAATGGATTCTGAGATATGACACCAAGAGCACAAGCAACAAAAGAAAAAAAAAGTAAACTGGGCTTCAAAATTTAAAATGTTTGAACTTCAAAGGGCAATATCAAGAAAGTGAAAAGACAACAGGATGGGAGAAAATATTTGCAAATCATATTCAATATATGTAATAAGGGACTTGTATATAATATATATACACACACACACACACATATATATTACAACTCGGTAATAAAAAGACAAATAACCCAATTTTGAAATAGGTGAAGAATCTAAATAGACATTTCTCCAAAGAAGATATACAAATGGCCAATAAGCACATGAAAAGATGCTTGACATTTTTAGTCTTCAGGGAAATGCAAATCAAAACCATGAGGACATCTCCCTGGCAGTCCAGTGGTTAAGACTCCGATGTTCCGGGACTTTGTGGTGGCGCAGTGGTTAAGAATCCGCCCACCAAGGCAGGGGAAACGGGTTCGAGCCCTGGTCCGGGAAGATCCCACATGCCATGGAGCAACTAAGCCTGTGTGCCACACTACTGAGCCTGAGCTCTAGAGCCCGTGAACCACAACTACTGAAGCCCGTGTGCCACAACTACTGAAGCCTGTGCACCCAGAGCCCGTGCTCTGCAACAAGAGAAGCCACTGCAGTGAGAAGCCCGCGCAGCACAACGAAGAGCAGCCCCTGCTTGCCGCAACTAGAGAAAGCCCGCATGCAGCAAAGAAGACCCAACACAGCCAAAAATTAATTAATTTTTTTTAAAAGACTCCAATGTTCCACTGAAGGGGACACGGGTTCGATTCCTGGTCAGGGAACTAAGATCCTGCATGCTCCATGGTGTGGCCAAAGAAAAAAACAACATACCATGAGATACCACTTTACATGCACTAGATAACTATAATGAAAACATAAGATAATAAGTGTTGGCAAGGACACAGAGAAATTCGAAATATAATACACTAATGGTGGGAATGTAAAATGGTGCACCTCCTTTGAAAAACAGTTTGGCAACTACTCAAGTGGTTAAACATAAGGTTACCAAATGACCCAGCAATTCTACTCCTGAGTATATACCCAAGATAAACAAAAGTATATGTCCACGCAAAAACTTGTACAAGAATGCTCATAGCAGCATTATTCATAATAGCCAAAAAGTGGAAACAACCCAAATGTCCACCAACTGATGAATGGATAAACAAAATGTGGTATCTCTATACAATGGAATATTATTTGGCAATAAAAAGGAATTAAGTATTGATACAAGCTACAATATGGATGAACCTTGAAAATATTAAGCTAAAAAAAATGAAAATATTAAGCTAAGTGAAAGAAATCAATCACAAAAGGTCATATAGTGTATGATTCCATTTACATGAAATGTCCAGAATAAGGAAATCTATAGAGACTAAAAATAGACTAGTGATTGCTTAGGGCTGGGGGGATATTGAGGTGATAGCTAAGTGTACAGGGCTTCTTTTTGAGGCAAAGAAAATGTTAATAAAACTGATTAGAGTGATGGTTGCACATACCTTTGAATACACTAAAAAGCACTGAATTGTACACTTTAAATGGATGAATGGCATGGTATATGGATTATCTCAAAGCCTCTATTTTGAAAAATCTTCAGACTTTAAAAAGTTAACTCAAAATAGATCATAGATCTAAGTGTAAAATGCAAAACTTTAAAATGTCTAGGAGCAAAAATAGGAGAAAATCTACATGACTTTGGGTTTGGTGATGAGGTTTTAGAAACACCACTACCAAAAATGTGATCCAACAAAGTAAAAGTTGGTATGTTTGGCTTTATTAAAATTAAAAATTTCTGCTCTGTGAAAGACTCTGTTAAGAGAATGAAATAAGTCACAGACTGGGAGAATACATTTGCAAGACACAAATCTGAT